AATCCTCTTGCCAATTTTCCTCTCCCTCTTTCTCATTCAACTGCTTATCAACTTCTCAGAGGATCAATTTTCCCAAATCTCCAGACAGAGGAGCAAGCAGAGATCACAATCTTTGGATGATGGTGAGCCCCTGAGCCCAGAGGATGATGTCTTACACATGCCACTGCCATATTTCCTTTCAGTTGTGGCATCCTAGCAGGCTGAAATTTTCATCTCTAACTTTGCTGTTTAGTGTTGGCAGGAAGATGTGTTTAAAGGCTCTTGACATTTTTGGTGAAATCCAATTTAATTGGATTCAAATTAATTTGCTGTATCAGAAATGTGAATAGTGGATTAAAACAGTTTAAAAATTTGGGAAAGCATGTGTCCCTTTCCCTCGCTCACTTTTTGCATGACCTATATAACACATAAAGTTTGTGCTGTGAATAAGCTGATCAGACTCTGCTCAATAGCCATAGCTAGTCTTCCTTAGTATTTAAAGGTTTTAATTAATAATTGCTTAATTTGTGTCTTAAGAAAGAATTACTTTGGCCTGAAGACTTCTCTTAGTTCTCTTCCTCAACTGAAGAAATTTTGGAACGTTAAAATTCATGCTGAGTTGAATCCATGAACCTGGAAAATAAGGTTTTTAGTATCCTAAATTGAAATTGTATAAATAGAATAAGGATAGGATTTGAATTATTTGGAAAATGCTCTGTAAAGCCAAGATTGTCATTTGTATGAAGATTGTTAAGAATTACTGCTCTCTGGTTTCTGGGGCCTAAAAGAATGTTAGTATCTGTAAGAGAATCAGTCTTCCTTACTAAAACCAAATCAAAGCTCTCAGCTTTGCCCTGCAATGAGACTTCCCTTTGAGAGAATGAGGAGTAGGAAGAGGCTGAATCAAAAGGCCTAGACTGTTTCCTTTGGTATAAGTATATAAAATATAAGGCTACAGTATAGAGAATTATATAACACCTTGTGATCTGCTCCCCATTGTTTTTTTTTTTCTCTTAGCTGTTCTTTTTTTATTTTTTATTTTTTTAAGATTTTATTTATTCATGAGAGTCACACAGAGAGAGGCGGAGACACAGGCAGAGAGAGAAGCAGGCTCCATGCAGGGAGCCTGATGTGGGACTCGATCCTGGGTCTCCAGGATCACACCCTGGGCTGAAGGTGGCGCTAAGCCGCTAAGCTACCAGGGCTACCCTCTCTTAGCTGTTCTTAAAACAATTCCTCTTCCAGGTAAACATTAGAATCAGCTTGTGTGATTAAGTTGTTCTATTTTTAAAATTATTAATTTATTAATTCATTGCAATGCCAATCAAAAAGAAAATTCTTGTTTTGATATGTGATATAATATATTTTGGTGCCTGGCATTTTTAGGTGTTTCAAATTGTGATCACTCATGGGCAAAGAGAAGGGGACCAAAGATGAAACTTTATGGAATAACATTTTAGACATTGATAGAGGAAGTGGAACCACCTCCATTCAAAAAGAATGGCCAGAGATGTTCCAGGAGAACTAGAAGAGAATGATGCTGCAGAAGTTATGAAAAAAAAATGTAATTAAGAGGAAGGAAGTAACTATATAGAAGATAAATATACAAAAATCAGACCTTTAGGGCAAGGGAAGAATCTGGTACCTGGCTGTGTAAATAGCTAGTACCTCCTTCAGGAATAGAGTGAAAAGAAAGAAAGAACCTATTGTTTCATGTAAAAGATGAGCTGAGCTGGCCCTCACTGATTCTCCAACAAGGCAGGAAAGACTATAGGAAAGATTGCTGGGTAATTATACAAATGTTTAAACCTCTGAAATGGACCACATCAGGTCATTCACTGACATCAGGGTCAGGCTAAAAGAGGGAAAAGAGGCTATGAGGGGCAAACAGATTTGGAAAACAATAGAAAGGACAAGGAAAGTGAAGCTCTGAGTAAGGTCAAAATGCAAGTGAGAAAGGAAAGGAAAGAAGATTCCAGTCAGAATAAAATATTAGAGTTTAGGATTTCATGGTTGAAACCATACAGAATGAGGCCAAAATCTAGGTTGAGATCAGTGGAAATAATTTGCTTAAGATAAAGGATCAGAGTTTTTCTGGATGGTGGAATTTCAGTGTTTGTTTTTAATGTGTACGTATTTCTTATATTGAACACATATTACCTTTATAACTACAGACGGACAATAATCCTGTTTTAATTTTGGGAAAAAAGGTAAGTAGCAGGAATGAAAAGGGAAATATCAGGACTTAGCGGAAAGAAACAAAGCTGTGGACTTGATACTAACTGGAATGTTTTTATTTTTTTATTTTAATTTTTTAAAAAGATTTTATTTATTTATTCACGAGAGACACAGACACAGGCAGAGGGAGAAGCAGGGTCCATGCAGAGAGCCTGACATGGGACTTGATCCCAGGTCTTCAGGATCATACCCTGGGCTGAAGGCAGTGCTAAACCACTGAGCCACCAGGGCTGCTTGGAATGTTTTTAGTAAGTGTAAGATTTTACATATAAGAGAAATGTAATTAGCTTTTACTTGAGTGAAACAAGAGAAATGCATCGGACCTCAGAAATGAGCGAATCACCATCACCTCTATGTTTCCCTCTCTGTTTTCTCTCCTTATTAGCTTCATTCGCTCCTATTAGCTTCTTCCTTAGGACTTTTTCCATGGCCACTGGCAGCCCCATCTTCTCAACTTCCCGAACAAAGAGAAAGTGACTCCCTGCCACCTCTTAACCCTTACATTTTAATTTGTAGATCATCAGAGGAAGACTCTCATTGGCCTGACTTGGTCATATTCCCTCTCCCTGGACTAGTGAGTATGGTCTGTGATTAACCCAGTTTGGTTCAGGTGTGTAGCCTTAGGTGCCTGGCTGGGACCAGGGAGTTTATGTAGGAGAGGGCAGTTATCAGTGGTACATGTGTCTAAAGCTGAGGAAGAAGCTGTCCTGCAAAGGAAGGATGGGTTATATTTCCCAGGAGAAGATAGAAGTGCTGGTGGTCAAAACAGCTCAAATCCACATTGTCATTATTTGCAAGTGAACTTGAATGTGTTATTTGACTTTTCTGAGGTCACTTTCTTCATCAATAAAATGGGGATAATAATAACCACCTTTCAGGATTGTTTTCAAATAGACATTTGTGTTTACAAATTGCTTAATAAGGATTCCACATAATCTGAGAGTGAAGGCTAGTCTATATTTCCCATGGAGATGGATTGATTCCTGACTGTGGCTGCTCAGTAAGGGTTGTGTTTTTCTAGTTGGTTCTTTCAGAGACTCACCTTTTCCTAGTTTACACAAAGATGCTTTGTCTTCCACTTTCTCTAATGTATTAACATTAACAAGGTAAATAGAAAACAATGTTGATTCTGTACATGCTGATATGATGTAATGAGGCAATTTCACCTCTGCAGTATTCTTCCCCCAAACCCATATCTTCAGTCTAATCATGAGAAAAACATTAGACAAACCCAAACTGAGGGATATCCTACAAAATATTCGGCTAATACTCTTTAAAACCATCACGGTCATGAAAAACAAGGAAAGACTGAGAAACTGTCACAGACTAGAGAAGACATGATGACCAAATGCAGTGGGATCTTGGAGCTTAGAACAAAAAAAGGCACATTAGTATAAAAGCCAGTGAAATCCTAGTAAAATCTGGAGTTTAGTTAAAAGTAATGTATTGGTGTTGGTTCCTTAGTTTTGACAAATGTACAATGATAAGATGTTATCCATGGGAAAACAGGTGAGCGGTATTCAGGAACTTTCCTTATAATCTTTGAAATTTTTCTGTAAATCAAAAATTATTCCAAAGTAAAAACTTTAGCAGTGGAAAAGAAGTAGAATTTGGAGAATGGTGGCTGAGTCACGTGCCTTTTGTTTCCCTACTACTACTTCCTGAAGTAAGCCTGAAGCTAACTGTCCCCAACATAGCTGAAGCAGTAGAATCTTTCCCATTTACCTTGCTTTTACTCAGCTTCATCTTGGAGATTCCAAAAGGATACTTTTGGGTAGAGAGAAGTAATATTCAATAGGGCTTAATTTGAAAAAATTATTGTAAGTCTTTTCCCAGTCAAATCAGATCTGTACCCAATCAAACAATTTGAAATTAAAAAGAAAAGTCTGACCTTTCCCACAGAGCTTATGAACTCTGTCCCCAAAATAATAGAGTGACTTTATTGTTATTATATCACATGAAAGCTGGGGTATGAATTCCAGACTCTACTTACTTTACAGAGATGTTTAAATAAGAAAAATATCCATCAAAATACTTTTTTTCTAGACTTAGAGCTTTTATTGTAGAACTTTCAAATATAACTTATATTGTCTATTTTTTATGAAATAAAAATGAAAATCCTCATCTGGGAGAAGTTTTTAAAGCTTATGTACAGTAAAATGGAGAATTGATTTTTTTTTTTAATATTTAAAGGACTAGGGCACCTGCATAGCTCAGTTGGTTAAGCATCTGCCTTGCTCAGGTCATGATCACAGGGATTGAGCCCCACATGGGGCTTTCTACTTTGTGGAGAGTTTGCTTCTCTGCCTCTCTCTGCCACTCCCCCTGCTTGTGCTTACTCTCCTGTTTGTGTGTGTGTCAAATAAATAAAATCTTAAAAGAAATATTTAAGAACTAATTAGCGAAGAATATCTTGGCAAAACCATGCTGAATAACAAAGGAATTACTAAAAGAGGTTTTAAAGTATGATATTGTAAATATACAGTGATATTGCCAATTCATTTTTCTTTATTGTTTTTTGGAAGTTATTTTTTAGAACTTAAACTTGGCTAATCAAGGTTAGATAATGCCATTTCATATTTTTCCAAGCAATAGTAGGAAATAGGAAAGAGGATTTAAATAGTACCAGTGGGGAAAGTGTCTAGATATGAAAATAATGAAATAAAACTGGTATATGGATGAGTATGCCATTAAACAGGAATGACTAAATGAAATGCACTTTTATATAAAGTTAAGCAACAAATGGTCTTTGCATTTACGTTTTTACACTTAATTTTTTATAGCATGTGCTGCAAAGAAAAATTGTCAATTATGTACAGAAGATAATAAAGTAAGTTAACTTATATATGAAAAAATTGTCTTGAGAATGTTATAAAGTCACACAATTTACAGTTGTAAATGTACTTCCTTCTAGAAAATTAGGCTTCAAAAACAAAACAATTTTTTGCTTGAAAAGAATTATACTTTGGGAAGAATTTTTTAAAGTCAAGGAAAAGATAATTCCTTTGAGATGCAGCAAAAATTTCCTTGCTATTCTATTCCCCCAAAACTGGAAGGATGACACATTGTTCCTTAACTACAGTGTAGCTAAATTCCCTTCTCTGATGATTAGGCAGCCGAAATCATTGTCCTTCACTTCAGATTTGGAAGAAAGCAGAAATGCCATACAAAATAAGGGAGATAGTGTTACAGAGAACTTTGTAGCAACCCTTACAAAACCATTCTATCATAACTAGTATTAGAGAACCAATAATTAACACCAAGGACAGAGAGACATGAAATCACTAATAAGAAAAGAGCATGCTCTAGTAACTGGTATCTGTCATAGTGATCTAGATGCACCATTCTGTGCTCCTTATCTTCATCAAGGCCATTCCTTCATTTAATGGGGTTCGGGTTCCTGGCTCATGGACTTCTCCACCCAGTTAATGCCATCACCTTACGTGCTTTGCAAACTCAGCAAAGGCCCAGACACACTTGGTCCCTCAAACTCCTGACTTTCTCAGCTCTGTGCATTAAGAAGTCACATCTGGGGCAGTGCCTGGATGGCTCAATCAGTTTAGTGTCTGCCTTTGGCTCAGGTCAAGATCCCGGGGTCCTGGGATAGAGCCTCACATCAGGCTGTGTGCTCAGTGGGGAATCTGCTTCTGCCTTTCCCCTTTTCGTGTGCTCTCTCTCTCTCAAATAAAAAAGTAAAAAAAAATTTTTTTAATTTAAAAAGAAAAAAAAATTTAAAGTCATTTCTGTGGCCATACCCTGAACCCTGCGCAATCTACAGGGGCTTCTAAATTCTTGTTCTCCTAACACTGTACTTACTTTTTGGCCTTAGCAAGACTGCCCTTTAGTCCTTTAATCTCTCGTTTTTCCTTCAGCTTATTGGCCCTCTCTTCTAGATTCCTTCAAGCATCCTTCCTGTGAATTCTCATGGCTATTCACTTGAATGAAACATTCTTCCACATTTCTTTGTTACAATGGAAATATTCAAACATACAAAGGTAGAGAAAATGATATAATAAAACTGTATACTTGCAAGATCTATCTTGGCCAATCTTATTTCATATACTCCCTCTCCCTGCCAAAATGGCTTGTTTTGAAGCAAAAAAAGATTTGGATACCGTATCATTTTACTTGCGAATATTTCTCTCTCTCTCTCTCCTCCCTCTTGCTCTCATTCCGTGTGTGTGTGTGTGTGTGTGTGTGTGTATAATACATACTTTGCTTTAAAATATTACAAGTCCTTCATTTCTTTTAATGTTATTTATAATATTAAAATATTACAATATTATTACATAATTATACCTAAAAATTAACAACTTCTTAGTATCATCAGGCATCCAGGAAATAATCACATTTCTCTTGTTACATAATTTTTTTAAACTTCATTTGAATGAAATCCATACATTGCAGTTGGCTGATATATTCCTTAAATCTCTTTATCTGTATGCTCCTTCTCCCTCTTTTTCTTTATTGCTACTTATTTGTTGTAGAAACTGAATTGTTCTACTGCGTTTCCCACTGACTGGATTTTGCTGGTCACATCCCCATAATGCGCTGTATCATGTTCCTCTTTTCTCTATTTTTTGTTCTCGTATGGAGGCTTGATTAGTTTCAGTTTTTTTTTTTTTTTTTTTGCAGGATTATCTCCTGCTGAGGACTTTCATTAGAAAGCAAATAAATTTGTTGAACATTTTGTGATATCAGTAGCCTTTATCCTTGCCTATACACATTATTTTATTTCACTGGAGGTTGCAAAAATCACCACTACTGTAATGTCCTTGCCTTCTCTTTTTTTAATTTTTTTTCATTTTTCTTAAAGATTTTATTTATTTATTCATGAGAGACACACACAGAGAGAGGCAGAGACACAGGCAGAGGGAGAAACAGGCTCCATGCAGGGAGCCCATCCTGGGACTCGATTCCGGGCCTCCAAGCTCACACCCTGGACTGAAGGTGGCGCTAAACCGCTGAGCCACCCGGGCTGCTCCTGTCCTTGCCTTCTCATCTTTAACTGTGTTGACCTACATTCCCTAGACCTGATTGGTCCATTGGTCTATCTTTTCATTTGTTACTCATTATTAGCCTCTTGCTGCTAGAGCATACTGCATCAAAGTCTGCATTAGTGCAACTACAAATCCAGTTTCTCATCTCACCTTGGCCCCAAGACTCTCTATTTCTTGCCTTTGGTTAGCAATATTTCCTCAAATTTCCCACAGTGGCAACTCCTAACCTAATCAGTCTATTTCTGTGCTGGTAAACAACCCTATAACACCGATCCCAGATCCCTCCCAATCATTTCTTGCTGAACATCCTGAGACCAGCAGAGATAATGACTCACTCCCAGTAAAGAACCACCCCTGAGAGCAGAAGATATATCAAAGACCAGCTTTTCTCTCATGTTAACCAAGACCAGAGGTCAAATGGAGTCACTTAGGTTGATGGGTCCTATCCTCTTCGACTGTTGCTTAAAGACTAGAATTGCAAAGTTAAATTTGTCAGGAGCCTAGATTCAGATGATAGCCCAGAGACTTCTAACCTTGGTAGGAATTCTCAGAGTTTTTAGAAATCAAATCCATGCCATATAGCAGGGTTTTATGGGAGATGAGTTGCCAGGAAAACGTGAACCTGTCAAACAGGACCTTGTGGTTATTCAGTACTAAGCTGATTCCTAGGCCCCAGTAACTAAGTCCACATCAGGGGAGTTCCTAAAGCAGGGCCGTCCCCAGAAGAGACATTCTCCCCTATGGCTCTCTCTGATAGAGGCTCAGAGGACAATGGAACAGGATGCTCCTTCACAGGTTGAGCCTAAGGCACCCAGACTGGTGAGCAATAACTCACCGCATGGCCAGGCAATCCAACAAGGACATCTGCACATCATGCACACCACTCTGAGATTCTAGACAGAGCTGGAGGGCAATAACTAACAGTGACTTTGGGTAAGAACAATTTTAGTTGAGGATTATTTGCATTATTTGTCAGGAGCATTTTTTTTTAAATGCAGAGTTGGGGAAAATAGGATGTTCACATTCTGAAAATTTGGAGGGTGAAATACAGTAGACTGAGGTAGGTTTTTTGTTTTACTCTTTTGTTTAGCTTGTGTCACTAGCCTCCTTCAAGGTAACCACACCTCTCCTTTGTGGCTGGCTTCCTTCAGTTCTATGTGATTCTGTAGCTGTCAATCAGCTTTATTCCACCACTTCTATTCTACAGAAATCATCCCATCCAGGCAGTGGTACTCGGGGTAGCCCATCCCTCTGGCCCAGTAACTAGTTCTGGACTGGACAGAAGACCCAATAAAAGCCAATTAAAACCTTCTTTGAAGTTTTATCCAGACATTGGAAGGTATCTGTTGGGAGCCAGGCTCTTTCCCAGCTATATGGAAAGCGTCCACATTTGCCACAGGAGAAAATTAGGTCAAACACAGAGGGGAAGTAGAGCTGAAAGATGAAAAGAGAGGAAATGGGAATAACATCCTTGGAGATTTAGCAAGGCCATCCTGGGACTTCCCAATTTTATGAATCAATAAAAAAACAGTTTGAGTTGGGCTTTAGTGACTTATCACAAAAAAGACCTAACACCTTATCTTAGTCTAAAAAGTCTTCAAAGAGCAGAACTTCACATTATAAAGAGGTACAGCATAATATATTCAACATCTTTAAATTGGTAATGCATAATTTAAGACAAATTACATGGATTCTTTTCTTGTAGCTAAGGAAAATGACCCACATAAATACTAAGCCATGCCAAACCACTCTCAAGAGAGTGACAACTGAGAAGTCAGCTAAAAGACTTTAAAACAATGGTTAATATTGCTCCATGAGAAAGCTAGAGTATTTGTTTTAGGGAAGAACTCTGTTCTAATAAGCTTATATGAACATAAAAATTGACATTTTTATAAGCAAGTATCATTAACATGAAAACAAATGCAGAAAGGGGAAGATACACAATAATGTTTAGTGGCCTGCTAACATTATATAAACCAAACAATTTAATATTATACTCACAAAAATATTAAATAAATGTTAATGTGCAAAGGGAGAGTTTAAACTGGTGGACATTGGGAGGATCAAAAGAGTATTTACTCATTTATGGGCAATAATAAGTGTGCCAGAGGTTACACGAATATGTAAAACAGTGTTTTTGCTTTCTAGAGAGTGACAATTTAATTAGCAGGCACAATATATAAATTTTACAAAAAATAAAATCTCTAAGTGGAAGAATATTATAATTTCGAAAGGAGTGGAGCAGATATAAAATGTAATAGGAGTTCAGAAGAGAAAGTATCCATGTGTAGTTGCAATGACTAGATAAGGTTTCTTCCAGGGAAGAGGCAGAACTTGGTCTGAGCCTTAAAGAGAAGGTAAAATCTGCACACGAAAGAACAGGGCCTTAGGCAGGCAGCTATCACAGGGTGAATGAACAGGTGTCCACTGTGGCAGGAGTGACAATCTGTCATTGGTGGAAGTTTGTGGAATTATTTGGAAAGGTAAATTCCCTCAGATTGTGATGGGTTTTGAATGCCAGGCTAAGGAGTCTGTGTTTTATCTCAACGGGATTCAATGGAATTACTTTGAGCTAAAAGGTGACATGAAGAAAATGGTAATTGATGATAATGAATAACACATCAGGAGGGACTGCGGGGTAGGAAGTCTAGGATTGTTCCAGTCGAAAGAAAAGAATAGAGGATTGATAGGGCTTTGCGAACTATAGATAGAGAAAAAGAGATAGGAGCCAAAGACTTCTAAAATTATGGGCTGGGAGAATGCTACCAGAAATAAAGAAAGAAAGAAGTAAATACAATGAAATTCTTTGGGGAAAGTAATAAATTTAGAT